TGTGTGCCACTACTTCTTGGTTAGTGCAAAAGATGATGCCACCTTCGCTGTATTGTATATTGATTCGTTTCGTTTCGATTCGTTTGACTGTGCGTCTGTTTGGATACGTGTAAGAATGTCTGTTTGTATATTACTGTTATTATTTTCATTGTTATTATCATCATCATCATCACCATCATCATCACCGTCATCATCATCGTCATCATCATCATCATTTCATCATCATCATCATCATCGTCGTCATCTTCATCCTCAATTCCGTTCTTGATTGACGTTTCGATTCAATTGTTTTTCTGTCAACAAATCAAAGCGGAATCATCCAAGTTCTTTGTTTTGCTTCTTTCGTTCTTCTTTGTTTCCACTTTATTTTCTTTGCTTCTACTTTGTATGTTTTTGTATTTTTTAAACCTTTTTTCTTTCACACGTACCAGTTATGTTTGTATGCGTACATTTGTGTGTGTCTGATGATGTTATGTGATGCGATTTAGTTATTAGTGTGCTTGTATGTGTGCCTACATGCTCATATACAAACATCTGTATGTGTGAGTCTGTAAGTATCAGACTCATACATACATACCTACATACATACATACATACACACATACATACATACATACATACATACATACATACATACATACATACATACATACATACATACATACATACGTACATACGTACATACATACATACATACATGCATACATACATACATACATACATACATACATACATGTATGCATACATACAAACATGAAAACATGAATACATAAGTACATACATACATACAATATTACATACACACATACAAACAAACAAACATACAAAACAAACATTCGTTCATAAAAAGCTGGATTAAAGTCATTTCATTAGTAAAAGGTTGTGTATCATAAATGTGGGCGTATGTACGTTTGTTTGTATGTATGCACGTACGTTTGTGTGTGTGCGTGTGTGTGCGTGTGTGCGTGTATCTATGTATGTATGTATGTATGTATGTGTGTATGTATGTCGGCCTTTTCTACACTAAATTAAACTAAGATGGACTATTACAATTTAAAAAATCAGTAATGATATGAGCAAAAAGATTAAAAGATGAAAAGCACCAACAACAACATTATCATCAACAACTACAACAACAGTCACAAAAAACAGCTATAACAACAACAGCAGCAGCAACAACAACAACAACAACAGCCACAACAACATAGGAAGCCTAGGTAACCGGCAACAAAACAAAACAATGACATAGCAGAAGAAAATTGATGGCATAAACATTTCTGTATCTATGGTAACTCACTCACGATGCTGCTGATGTTGTTGATGACGTTGTTGCTGATGATGACGACGATAAGTTGTTGTTGTTATTGTTGATGTTGTTGTTGTTATTGTTGTTGCTGTTGTTGCGGTTGTTGTTGTTGATGTTGTTGATGATGACGAAAATGAAAATGCTAATGACGATGATGTCATTGAGTTGTTGATGTTGTAGTTGTTACTGTTGTTGTGGTTGTTATTGATGTTGTTGATGATGACGAAAATGAAAATGCTAATAACGATGATAGTGTTGTTGATGTTGTTGTTGTTTTTGTGGTGGTTGTTGTTGGTTTTGTGGTTGTTGTTGTTGTTGATCTTGAATGAAAGGGTCGTTTGCGTGACATACCATCAAGAAGACGACCAACGCGAGGACATCATCATCATTATCATTATCATCATCATCATCATCGTCAGCATAATGACGACCGACACATTCTTCATCATCGTTATCAGTCTCACAATCGCCGACAACAGAAGAATCACACAAAAACCAAACAACATCCATCCACATCATCATCGTCATCATTATCACCGTCGTCGTCATCATCATCATCTTCTTCTTCTTTTTCTTCTTTTTCTTCTTCTTCTTCTTCTTCTTTTTCTTCTTCTTTTTCTTCTTTTTCTTTTTCTTCTTCTTCTTCTTTCTCGTCATCAGCAACAACGTCCCCATCTTAAATCTCAAATATGAATAAATGAATAAATAAACATGTACTTGCCTTGAGGTAAAACAAAAAAAACTTTTGTAATGAATAAATAATAAGTAAAATAAAAACAAAGAGAGAGAGAGAGAGAGAGAGAAAGAGAGAAAGACAAATAAATTGACATCAAACCCACCTACGCATGCAACATACTGAAGGTTATGTAGAAGTATTCTGACAAATAAATAGAGATGAAATGGAAATGAAGAATGGAAAAAGAAAGAAAGAGAGAGAGAGAGAAAAAAAGAAAGAAAGAGAGAAAAAAAAGAGAGAGAGAAGAATCCAATAAAAGAGAGAAAGAGAAAGAAAAAATATAGATAAACAAAAAATATGTGCCAACGTGATAGCAGGATATTCTCATAAAAGATTGTATTGATATTTCATCAAACGTGATGGAAGGAATGAAGGACTACCAAATTATGGATGAATAAAATATGAATACGTGATTAATTATAACATTAACAACGACAACAACAACAAACAACAACAGCAACAACATCACCACTCACTACCAACAACAACATCGCCATCCTAATGTTGTATCGATTTCACATAGGCAACAGGTTCGGCTGACTCTTCACACGTATGTATGTCTGTATGTATGTATGTATGTATGTATGTATGTATGTTTTGTATGCGTATGTTTGTATGTATGTATATGTTTGTATGTTTGTTTGTATGTCTGTTCTGTACGTTTTCAAATTCAAATTAAAAATTTTTCTGTTGAGTAATATTCATTTTCTTCACGCATATGAATATGTTTGTAAACATAAGAATGTGAACAACAACGACAGCAACAACAACGACAACAACGACAACATCAGCAGCAACAACAGCAACAACAACAACGACATCATCACGTTTATAATCAACTGGCCAGTCAATGCCACCTTCATATAACACTAGGCAGTGCTCGTCTTGACGCGATACAATGCTTATTTAGTACATGCGGGTATAGACAAATACACAGAAATACCTACAAATACTACAAATTGTACGTACATTCACACGCACACACACACACGCACACACACACACACACACACACACATATAAAGTGTATACATAAGTATGTATGTATGTTTCTTAGAAATATCTAATTGCCAATATATATACATATATATAGCGAATATATAAAGCGAATATATATAGCGAATATATATATATATATATATATATATATATATATGTATGTATAAAAAGAGAGAGAGATAGAAAGAGAGAGAGAGAGAAAAAAAGAAAGAGAGAAGAGAAGAGAAGGTGTATATATATATATATATATATATATATATATATATGTGGGTGTTAATGAATGTATATATACGTATATTTATATACATATACCTACATCGCCTATATATGTATACAAGAGCCATTGAAATTTATAAAGAGAGAACAAGTTGAGAATAAAAAAGAATAATGAAAAATAAAATAATATTAAAGGTAAATAGTTGTTGATTCAGTGTTATAATATATATTATACGTGTGTATATTTATAATTATATTATATTTATATATATATTATATTTATAAATTATATATTTATAATTATATTTCATGTCTATTCTTATTATTTTTGTTATATATATATATATATATATATATATATATATATATATATATATATATTAATAATATTAATAATAATTCTAACGAACACATTCTATCAGTAAAAATATAATAGCACTTATATTATAATAACATTAATGATATTTAAATTAATTCATAAGTAATGGTTATTATTAATAAAAATATGTATGGATGTGTGGATGCTGGTACGTATGCACGTGTGTATATATTTGTATGTGTGTATGTACGTGTGTATGTATGTGTATATGTATGTGTGTATGTGTGCATGTATGTGTGAATGTATCTTATTAAATTCCAAAATTCCAATGTGGGGCGAATTTTGAGAAGTTTTATTATTATAAGTAAAGTCGTCGTAACTATAACAATAATAATAATAATAATAATTATTATTATTATTATAACAATTATGATTATGATGATAGTGTAAGTGCTGATAGTAGTAGCAGCAGCGGTAGTAGTAGTAATAGTTGCAAACTGTTTTGATTTGGGAGAATATTTTTTTTCTTCCAATCGACTGATATAAATAAACAAAAGGAGATTTAATTATTTAATAATAATAATAATTATTATTATTATTATATTATATCAATTATTATTATTATTATATTATTATTATTATGAACTATAATTACGTCACGTTATGATCATATTGGTAAATAATAATTATTGTTTTTAAAAATTTCATTTAAAAGTGATACATTATTTCTCAATTCCCTCTCTCTCTTTTGTTTTCTTTCTTTTCTCTCTCTCTCTCTCTCTCTCTCTCTCTCTTTCTTTTTCTCACATACACAAACACACCCCCACACACACACATATATATGTATATATACACACACATCATATTCATACACACATATATATTTATATGTAATCTAATATATACCAACATATATATATATATATATATATATATATATATATATATACCCGATACACACACATACATACATATATATAAAATTTTATTAAATAACATTTTTACTCTTTAAAATCCCACTTTAAGATCTCCAAGAAATCTATTCCACAACTACTTCTATTGGCCACGAACAACAGTTCAACAACAACAACAGCAACAACAACAGTGATAACAACAACAACAGCAATGATAACAACAATAACGGCAACAACAGCTCTTTAGATTTAACAAACATTTCTAACAACAGTAGAACAAAATGTGCCGCAAATTTGCCAAATAATCAACAACCACAACAACAACAGCAGCAGCAGCATCATCAACAACAACACCAACAACTCAAGATGAGATTAACAGACGACGACAACAACAACACCACCCCGAGTCCGAATACAGCCATCAATAGCGAATTCAGCAACAACACCTGTAACCAAAAAAATAATATCGACATGGAAAAAATGAGCGCTACAATTATAGAAGAAAAAGTG